GCCCCCTCTGGCTGCCTGCAGCCTGCCACATTTAGATGGAGCCTGTCCCAATGGGCAGCAGGGAGGTGACTGTATCCCCCGCTCCTGACGGACAGGCATCACTGTAAGCGTGAACAGTGTAACTGTGAACACCTCGGGTCACCAGATTCTGTGAATCCTTACAGAATCCCTGCAGAGATCCCAGGCGGCAGAAAGCTCAGAACTGGCCTGGGGCCCCGTAGCTCCCCCAGGAGCTCGCACTCGCACGTAGGGCTGCCTGGGGCCTGAGCTGGCCCTCCCACCCTGCTGCCTGTCCTGCTCTCCAGGAGTCCCACCCACGTGCCAGGCCCTGCCCACCCAGCTGCACTTCACAGGCCCCAGGCTCCCCTGGCAAGGCTGCCCTGGCCCCACAGCCGTGCGTCAGAGCCGGCTTCGTGCGTGGAGAGCCAAGGAAAGGCAGCCCTTTCCACCTGCTGTGCCACTGTGGGCCCTGACGCCACAGCTGGCAGCTGGCTGCCTCTCCAGGCGCCAAGTCCAGCCTTGGCCACGCCCAGGAACAAAGGTGTCCTCCTGGAGCCCCTGTCCTGTCATACTGGGCACAGCTGGTGGCCTGCTGCTTCCGGCTGCTCTGGGTGCAGCCTCCAACCCCGAGGTCCTGGAACTGAGCCTGAGCTGGAGATGTCCAGACCCAGCTCTGTCTCAGGCCGGGAGGACCCTGTCCCCATGCAGGGGGAGACGGGGCCCAATCCTCACTCTGCACCTGCTGTGCGCTGGGGCCTCCGTGTCCCCACCCAGCAAGAGGGGGCAGCGCCCAAGTGGCAGCCTTGTCTGGGCCAGGAATGCTCCGTGAGCTCAAGCTGAGCCTGGGTCTGGGCAGGAACCAAAGGGGAGCTCGGAACAAATGCACCGGCGGCTTCCCCGAGACTGCTGGTGGTCAGTGCTCGGTCATTGGCCGCTTTGACTGGACTCTCACCCACCCCACCCCGCTGGCAAACATGGAGCCTGTCGTCACCCCAGTATTCTGTATGTGCTTGCCAAGTTGGTAGCCGTATCCCCACAGGACAGCAGCACCCCGAGGGCCGGGCCACATTGCCACACAGCCCTGGACTCCAGTCACAGGTGGCCCAATAGCAGCTCAAGGAGCCAGCTGGACTGTGGGGGCCTGAAGCAGTCCTGTCTCCCCTCCTAGGCTTCTGGGGTGCACTCCATGCGTGGGCCCGCACGCCCGTGAAGCTGTGGAGCTGAGGGTGGCCGCCCCGTCCCGTTGGTTGAGGTGGCCGCGTTTCTGTACCTCTGGTGCCGTCCTGAGTGCTTGGTTTTAGCGGGCACCGGTCATTCTTGTTTGGAGTAATCACCGTCCCAGTCTTCACTGGCTGATCCTAGACCCGTGTCCTCTGAAGGAGCAGGGTCCTCCTCCCCTCCTGTCACCGTGAGCCGCACTCCAGCGTGGCTGCTTAGGGCCAGTGGCATCGGCTCAGGCCATCCCAGATTTGGCCCAGAGGGTCCCCTTCGGGCGGCTGTGGCCCCCTCTTGCCGTTTCCCAGCACCCTTGGAGTGTGTGCTCTTGTGTGACAAGTAGCTGGGCTGGTCCTCACCTTCCCTGCCCAGCCCGGAAGCCGCCGTCTCCCTCACCAGATGGATCGGATTTAGAACTCAAGATCCCTGCTGGGGGCCCGCATTGCCCCCTGGTGCCCGAGGTAAGGGCATTGTGGGTGTGTGTGCACACAGTCGGGCCTGTTTGGTTTTGCGTCTGCGCAGCTGTCGGCTGTGGAGGCGGTGGCACAGGCCTGGAGCGCAGCATTCTGGGAGGCTGAGGCAGGATACTTTTACAGGGTACTTTACTGACTTAGCAAGACCTGGTTTCAAGATACAAATAGGGCTGGGGGTGTTGCTCTGTGTGTTTACCGTGGACTCAGTTCCCAGCACCGTGCACACTTGTGCACACACATGCACACGCACAAAGTGAGCAGGCCGGCTCCCGGAGGCTCCAAGAGAGGATCCATTCCCCTGCCTGTCCACTCTGCAGGGCATCTGTGTCCCACGGCTGTGGCCCCTTTTTCCATGTCCACAGCCAAGCATCACAGCACTGCCCCCTCCCTCTTACAAAGGTCTGTGACCCCTCTCCTGCCCGCCCAGTGCCCCAGGGCCCTCCTGTCTCAAATCCTTGCCCAGATCCCAGCTGCAAAGCCCTTCGGGCCGTGCCCTGGGCCCCTCAGGAGCAGGCGGGTGGGGCTGTCCTGCAGGGCAGCAGCCTCCCCTCTGCCATCCTCTCCTGCTGGCCAGGGAAGGCTCAGGAAGGCAGCGTCCTCCATCTGTTTCTCTTCTTCCCACAACACAGAACCCACAGGAAGTGCCCCATTTTGTAGAGCAGGGGCTACACGTGCCGGTGCGGAATTGCCTGGCTCAGTCTTTTCCTTGTCTGCAAAATGGGGGTACAGATTGCAGCTGTTTCGGGGGCATCGGCCTCAGTCGCTCTGCAGAGTGGATGGGAGGCAGATGTCAATTGTGGCCGGGGCTAGTGCCATGTGAGCAGGGACTGCGGTGGTGCTGGTCACCGCCCGTCCAGCCCAGCTTTGGAGCCGCCCCCTCCTCGTCGTCCAGCCTCCCACGGGACTGGGGGCCCTGCTCTGTGAGGCTTCACACCACCCACGCACCCTCCCTGCTCAGACCACTTCCCGAAGGAGCATGGTCTGCTGGCCACGGCCTTTCCCGTCCTCCCAGATAATAATGGGCCCTCGGGGGAGGCCGCACTGGACTGGCTGAGTGTCAGGCTACTCTCACGCCCGGCAGCTTCACCTCAGCAGTGCCCCCGCTGCAGGCTTTCCCTGCCTCGCGGGCCGTCCCTGTGCTCGGCTGGTCTGGGGACAGCCCACGGCAGGAATACTCTGTCAGGACCCCAGTGAGGGCGTTGGATCACAGCCAAACCCCCCTAAGAATCTGTTAAGGCACAGGCGACCCCACCTAGGGCCCTCCGACCTTACGGGGCCTGAGAATCTGCATTTCTAATAGGGCTGAGGACCATTTGAGGACTCCTGGATAGAGGCAAAACTGGACAGTTCACAGAGCCTGCCTGGAAAAGACTGGTCGAAATCTCAGAAAGAAGGTGTCCATGGCACTTCCCTGGGCGGGGTGACCCTCGCTGTCCTCTCTAGTTCACTCATCTGACCGTTGCATGCGCTGTGACCTGTGAAACTCTGCAAGGGCTGGCCGCGAGGCTCCTCTCTGCCTCCTCCCTCGGGGACCCCAGAGTCCAGCGCTGTCCCAGCGGGGGACACCGGGTCCCACCCAAGTTTCTCCCGCTCTTCTCATCCCCTCGACCCTGCTCTTCCCCGGCCCAAGGCCCACTCCTCTCCTCCTCCGCCGGTTCCCCTCACCATTTCCTCCCCAGCCAGGAGGCCTCTCTGGATCGTGCGGTGGAGTGCAGTGCCCGGCCACCTCCCTCCCCGAGTGAGACGCCCCTCAGGGCCCACCCCCCCAGTGGATCTGTGCTGCCTACACACCTGGTGTTGGGATCTTCTGAGGGAGGGCCGGTGACTAATCCTGAATGCGTGCCCAGCGTTGGGTGTCCACGGGCACAGAGTTTACGGCTGCTGGTCTGGAGTTCCCGGGCCCCGAGGGCTCTGTTGTTTTCTCACCCTGGCACCCCACCCCACGCTCTCTGGGCACCCAGGACGAGGACCCTACTGTCCCCACCACGTGCGCCCCACAGTCCACCTGTGCTTCAGGTTTCCCATTCACCGTGCCCCAAATCCCACGGCAGGCCTGCAGAGTGCTTGCTGCATGGCCCAGTAGCCCGAGGGGAAACTGAGCCTGCAGTGGGACTTAGGAACTGTGTTGGGGAGACACAGGTCAGCGTAAGTGCTCTCAGCATGCCGGGTCCTCCGGGAGCCACATGAGAGTGAGTGAGGGGTGCTCACGGCCAGAAAGCAACAGCAGGACCGAGACGGTGGAGGCCGGCTCTGGAACCAGGACCGCTGCCATCTGGCAGGACAAGGGCCCGGACAGCACTGGGCCAGAGGACACTGTCTGGGCGGGGAGGGGTGCCCGCCGTGGGAGGTGCGCTCCTCCTTAGCGTGGAGCTGACAAAGGGTGCATTGTGGACTTAGGGGCACTCGGGAGGCGGATGCAGAGCGGGTGAGCAGGCCGTGCCAGCTGCGTGCTCCCGGGTCAGCGGCCCACGGCGAGAAGCCACCCAGGAAGCGCGTGGGGTGGGCAGCTCCGCGGCAGATGCGTGCAGGCGGGCACTGGCTGGGAGGGGAAGAGGTGGTGGGGAGGAGGAAGAGAAGAAGGAAGAGAAGTCTCCATTTTATTTCAGAAGTCAGTCGTCGCCTCCCGCCTCCCCCCCCCCCCGCCACTTCCTGTGGCCTGCTGGGAAGGGAGAGAGGGTTCTCAGAATACCGGGAAGGGCAGAGCACCCCAGAGCCCTGGCGCCGGCTCCCCATTATCAGAGCCCCCAGCTGCTTCCGGGGAGATGCTTCGCACCCTGGGGCTCTCAGGACATGGCCTGTCCCCGCCCGACCTTGGGTTATTTAGTGTCCCCTAGAACTGGCCATGGTACCACCTGTGGTCAGTAGCGGGCACTGTCTACACCTTGTGGGTGCTTGAAGGCGCACAGGGGTCAGGCCAGGGTTCTCTGTAAGGTGTCACTGCTGGGCCAGTGCTGCAGGATCCCATCTACTCAGTAAGTCTGCTTTAAAAACAGCCACACGGGTCACCTGTGGTGGCGCTCGCTGGCCATGTCAGCATACAGGAGGCTGGGGCGGGGCACTGTTGTGGGCTCAAGGCTGCTCTGCAGCGGGTTCCCAGCCCCCCGGAGGGAGCGGCCTCTCACACATGCACATGTGCGGATCTCCCTAACACCAGCGTTGGTGAGAGAGCGCGGGGTGGGCGCTGCTGTCCCTTGACCCTTGAAGGCGGGGCTGGGGCTCAGCCAGACGCCCTCCCACCAGAGTGAGGACCAGGCCAGAGCCGGAGCCAGGGCCGGGCAGACGCTGGCTCACAGCCGCCCACTCTTCCCGCAGGTGGACGGGCAGTCGGAGCTGAAAGCCAGCGAGGAGGAGAAGGCCGTCCCGGCGCTGCCACCCAAGCAAGCGTGCCAGTGCCACAAGGAGGACTTGGCAAAGACGTTTGCTGTAAGAGCTGAACGTGCGCCTGACACTGCGGTGGTGAGATTTCTGGGGGAAGAGAAGGTGGCACCGCCCCGAAAGCTGCCCTGGTTGTGTGTGCTGACCCACGCTGGTGTGGTTGAGCCCGGTTAACAGCGGTAACAGTTGTGATGGGGGGATGAGCATCTGGGGACTCTCCGGTGCCTGGTCCCAGCAGCCCCTCACATGGGGCTTTCAGCACCAGCGACCCTCCCCTCACCATTCACCCGCCGTTCGCACCCCTGGGACTGCCCGGTGCTGAAGCCCGGCTCTCCTGGGCGTCTCGGGAGGCATTGGGGCCTCCCCTGGCCATCGGGGTGGCAAAGCAGCCCACTTCCAGGAAGCACCCCACTGAGTTTGTAGGGCTCGCTCCACGGCTCTCATTTTCTAGAAAACTTGCAAACACCTGCACTCACGAGCTTCCACCCTGGGAATGCTAGTAAAAGTCCAGCAGTGCTCAGGACCGTGCAGCAGCGCCCCGGAGGCCGGCAGGCGGGGTCTGAGGGTATCTTTGGCTCCAGCTTGAGCCCTGTGGATCAGTATTTGCGGGGAGGGGCCCTTTATTCCCTGCCTAGCCAAGTAGCAAGATTTTTGATCCTCATTTAAAGAATATACAGCCTGTAATCCCAGCACTTGGGAGGCTGAGGCAGGAGGATCGTTTCGAGTTCAAGATCAGCCTGGGCTATGAAGCGGGCTTAAGATCAGCCTGAACTGCACAGAGACCCTGTCTCAAAAAGATCGGGGAGAAAAGAGCGTACAAATCTATTCAGATCCCTCTGTCACCCTCTCCAATACCTGTGTCGCCCTCTCCAACACCTGTGTCACCCTCACCCACACCTGTGTCACCCTCGCTCGCACCTGTGTCGCCCTCTCCAACACCTGTGTCACCCTCGCCCGCACCTGTGTCACCCTCACCCACACCTGTGTCACCCTCGCTTGCACCTGTGTCGCCCTCTCCAACACCTGTGTCACCCTCGCCCACACCTGTGTCACCCTCACCCACACCTGTGTCACCTCACCCGCACCTGTGTCGCCCTCTCCAACACCTGTGTCACCCTCGCCCGCACCTGTGTCACCCTCACCCGCACCTGTGTCGCCCTCTCCAACACCTGTGTCACCCTCGCCCGCACCTGTGTCACCCTCGCCTGCACCTGTGTCACCCTCACCCGCACCTGTGTCGCCCTCGCCCGCACCTGTGTCACCCTCGCCCGCACCTGTGTCACCCTCACCCGCACCTGTGTCACCCTCACCCGCACCTGTGTCACCCTCACCCGCACCTGTGTCACCCTCGCCTGCACCTGTGTCACCCTCACCCACACCTGTGTCGCCCTCACCCGCACCTGTGTCACCCTCACCAACACTGCCTGACGTCCCCCATCACTGTTTGCCGCCTCCAAACCTGCTGTCGTGTGCAGAGGTGAAATTCGGTCCTGCAGAGCCACCAGCTCCGCACGGCCCTGCCCTGCGCGCTGGGCCCCTGCCGCCTGCTTCCTGCCCTGCGCCACTGTCCAGAGCCCACAGCCTCTCTCTGGAGACTGCTGTGCCTCCTAACGTCCGTCCCTGCTGGAGCAGGGTCTGGATTTGCTTTTCTGGTTTTCTCTGCCGTGGCGGTACGGGTTGGGCCCGGGTACTCTACCCCAGCTTCGTCCCCAGCCCCTTTTAGTTTTTGAGAGAGGGTTGCTCTGAATTGCCCAGACTGGGCTTAATCTTGGTCCTCCCATCCCGGCCTCCTCAGTAACTGCGATTGAAAGCCAAGCAGGCACCATGGTGCCCGCTAGCATTGCCTCTCTTTCTAAAGCTAGCTGGCATTTCCTGGTGCCCACCCACCATGCTGTGCAGAGCCCTTTACCCTCCGGTGGACTCGGGTTGCTCCCAGCTCTGACTGTGGGAGACACAGCTGTGCTGAGCAGCTGGATCAAACACCTCTGCGGGAGCCGCTTCAGGCCTTCTGGGCACGGGCCCTGCGGTGGGATGGCATGGTCACCTGGTAACCCGACACTTGCTTTGGAGGGAGCCCTGAACTGTCTTCCAGGGTTCGCTGCTTGCCAGTCCTGGTGGCTTTTACCTTCCCAAGGTGCTTTTCCATTTGCTGAAACTGACAGGACCACACTCTGCTGTAATTATTGAGTGGTTGTGTGACCTTATGGAAAAAGAATGGGACCATGTCTTTGTGTTCTCTTTCTGCTCCACGCTTGGGGGTCTTCCAGCAAGTGCCCTGTCCTCCGAGGCCGAGCCCCCTTCCCTAGACCATCCCAGAAGTGATGGGCTACAGGGTGAGGTCCACACCGTGGGCCCCTGCTCCTTGCCGGGCCCCTCAGTGAGCTGCTGCGCCCTCTCCTTCCAGGTAGACCTGGACACCGGCCTGTCCGAGTTTGCCGTGACGCAGCGCAGGCTGGTCCATGGCTGGAACGAGTTTGTCTCCGACAGCACGGAACCCGTGTGGAAGAAATACCTGGACCAGGTGGGCCCGCGCTGTCCCCCTGCCTTGCTGAGCCCGCAGGGCAGGGCTGCTGCTGCCTCTCCAGATATTGATTGAGGGTGTCCTTGGACAGGCCCGCCTGGGCGTAGGCAGGGGTGTTCCAAGATAAGGCTCCCCTGAGCAGCGGCCCAGCAGCCACCACACGCAGGGACAGTGACCGCGCGGTGAGCTGGCCACATGCCAGGTGCCCAGCCGCAGCAGTGAGACAATAAGCGGCCTTCACCCACGAATGTCCCGCCTTGTGCCCTGTGCTGGGGAGAGGGAGGAGAGGACCTGAAACACTGTCCCAGGGGGCGCGCGGCCGCACAAACCGGGAAGGAAAGGCGGGGCCCTGGGAAGCTGGAGCTTCAGGGAGCCAAGCCAGGGCCAGGTTTAGCTGGAAGTGTTTTCAGCCCTGCAGTGGGCACTGAAAACCAATTCCTGGTCCGTCTAAAACTCAAACCCCTGTCCTGTATTTTTTCTGGCAACCTGAGCCCAGAGTCCCCCACACAGCAGTAGGGACCATGCTGAGCAGCAGCCGGGGCACCCAGCTCTCACCCGCTGTGGTCAGGCGGCAGCTGGCTCGGCCCTGCTTCCTTTCCGACCAGGGCCCTGGCACTGCCCCGTGTCCCTGCCTCCCAGCCTGTCGCTCCCCGCGCTGGGCCTCTGCTGCCAGGGCCGCCCAGGATGAAATCTCGGGCTTTCGCAGACCAAAGACCCGCTTCCTCTGATTCCTGTCGGTTTGGGGCTGCATCTGCTGGGCTCCTGCGGGAACCCGGGAGCCGCTGAGCGTCCAGTCTGCACCTGTCCTTCCCTGCACTGCTGCCCCTGCACTGCTGACCCCGCACAGGCCGGCGCTGTGGCTCCCTGTTGCTGCGCTGGTGCCCGGGAACCTGCCATGCTGTCTCGGGAGTTAGTCAGAGATTCTCCACCCGCCTGACCGAGACACACAGGTCAGGATCCAGGGAGACGTAGGCTGGAATCCGATCACTTGGGTCAGTCCCAGGCTCTGGCTTGGTAAGCCGAGGAGTCTGTTGACTCCCTTGGGCCTCGATTTCCCTGTCTAGGAGAGTACTAGGTCCCGCCATTGCCGTGTCACCAAGCAGAAGGTGCCTGGCACCCACGATGGCTCTCACGGCCCAGGGAGTGCAGTGAGGATCCTGGGCCCGTCGGCCACTTTCAGGCCTCGGCCGCTCATTTATCAAGCAAGAACCCTTGGCAGTGCCCGCGCCAGGGCTGGGTCCCCCACGGGGCTCTTTACTGCTAGTTTGTTGGGATCAGGTCCCACAAACCTCCTGCTCTGTCCCTTAACTGGCTTCTGGAGGTCCGCAGGGTTTCCTCTAACACGAGGCTCACCTGCCGGCTGCCCGATGTCCCCATCCCAGGCACTGGGGTACCAGGGTGCCAGGCTCGTGCGTTTTATTTCTTTTTTGGTCCTGGGACTCGAACTCAGGACCTCACAATTTGCCGGCGAGTGCTGCGCCACCGAGCTAAATCCCGGCTTGCGGCTGTGTCTGAAAGTGGGAGGGGTGTCCAGAGAGCCCACCTGGCCGTCCCCAGGGCCCCTGCCCGCAGGAACTGGACCCTTCCTTGTCGCCAGCTTGGGTCCAGCAGCCGTTTTCTGGGGGTCCAGTGCCCCTTTCCTCCTCAGTGAGTGTTTCCTGAGGGGCTCCTGCTGGCTGCCGTCTGTTGGGCCCTACTCTGTCCGCCAGGCAGCTCCTCTCTCCTCACCACCACGCACCCCCAGGGCCCGCAGTGGGCCGAGGCTGCTTGGGGCAGACGGTGCGGTGGGTCAGGAGCACCCCATCCCTGAGCCCCAGTGCACTCAGATCGGTCGAGGCCCTGAGAGGACCGGGAACCCTGGTCGGACACGGCCCTTGTCGTAGGTCACCTTCTCGAAGTCCATAGAGAGAGCTGATAGACCTGGAAAAGCAGGTGGCGAGAGAGGGCGTGTCTCTGTCCCGCCCCGCGCTGCAGTGTGACGAGTTGCTGGTTCACACTCGGGTGCTGCCCGGGCCCTCAGGCAGGGCAGCGAGGACCCCGACATTCCGGGGCGGGTGGGGTGAAGTCCCTTGTGGGTTCTCCTGGCGCAGGGCCCAAGCCTTTCTCACGAGCAGTGCTAACCCCACGTATGTCGGTGTTTCCTCCTCGCCTTGGCTGCTGGAAAGCTCAGGCCCCGCACAGCCAGCTGGAGAGGCGACTTGCTTGTTGGTCCTTTACCCTCCCCTGGTCTGCTTGCTCTGCCCTCTCTGATCCTGTTTCTGTGTGCCTGTGTTCCCTCTATGTCTTTGTAACGCGAGCTACCTCAAAATGCCTATGGGAAGTGACGGACAGGTGCACGGACTAACAGGGACTTCCCGGAGGCTGCGCCCCGCACAGCTCAGTGTGCAGGCAGTGAGGACCCTCGGCGTCCCAAGGCCCTGACCCACGGCACCGGGCATGCAACGAGAGACACCAAGGGCTCGGAGGCAGGGCCAGGGCCCCGTGTCTGGTGGGGCCCCGGGGCAGGGCTCCGGCCCTCTGTCCCCGCACTGGTGCCCCAGAAGACCCGAGTCTCGCTCCTGTGTGGGGTGGACCCCGGAGGAGACCCGCTGTCTGTCTTTCAGTTCAAGAACCCCCTGATCCTGCTGCTGCTGGGCTCTGCCGTGGTGAGCGTGCTCACCAAGCAATACGAGGACGCGGTCAGCATCACCATGGTGAGCGGCAGCGACGCGGGCTGCCCGGGCCTCGCTTACGCTGCCAGGCAAGCCACCTCGCAGGGCAGACAGCCTCGGGCCGCGTGGCCAACTGGGCTGCAGTTGGGTTCCCGTGTGCAGGGCGAGGGGTTCGCTGGCGCGAGGTCATTCTCAAAGTGTGTCTGGGTAGAGAAGTCCGGAGTGTGAGCCCAGGAAGCGGGGTGGAGCGTGCTGTGGCCTCTGCTTGCTCGGGGCAGGGGCTGCAGCTCTGTGTCACACAGTGCGCTGTTCTTGCACAAAGCAAGGCGGCCACGTGCGCAGGGCATCACCGGCCCGCTTGCTGGCCCGGCCGCTCTGGCCCGCTGCGGTCCTCAGCCTCCCCGTCCTCCTCCAGGCTGTGCTCATCGTGGCCACCGTCGCCTTCATCCAGGTGTGTATTTGCCAAGGTTCCAAACGTCAGGGTGATCTGGACGTGACGGGTTCCTGAGGGCCCCGAAACAGCCGTGCCGTGTGCCTCCGCAGGAGTACCGCTCGGAGAAGTCCCTGGAGGAGCTGACCAAGCTGGTGCCCCCAGAGTGCCACTGGTGAGCTGGTGCCCGGGTCTTTCCGTTCCTCACTCGCGCTGGGGCTGACGCGCTGGGCAGGCGCGGCGGCGTCCCCGTGGTGTCACCGGCTCGCTGTGTGTCCTGCGGCCGGAAGCGCTGCTCTCCCACGCGTCTCTCGGTGCCTGGCCTGGGCTGTGGACGGACGCAGCGGCTGGGCAAAGGACGCCGGCCCGGCTGTGTGCATTCTCCAGGGTCCTCGGGTGGCTCCAGAGAGGGGGGTCCGGGGTGCAGGGCCAGCCCAGTGCGGGGGAGGTGGACTCCGGCCCAGCTGGGATGCCCGCTGGCCTCCCAAATGCCTGGATGTGACTGCTGTGCCCTCTGTGGCCACGCAGCTCTTGCTGAAGGGGTTCAGATGGAGAAAGGAAAGGCACAAATGTCCATCAGGGCCACATCCAGAAGCGCTCTGTGACCCGAGCTGTGGGGTTAGGGGTCCTAGTCACATGTGCGGAGACCGAGGGAGGAGCTGGGTTCTTAATTCAATCCCACTTCACTTTGGGCTGGGAGCAGCTCTGGGGTGAGCTCTGGACGAGCGTGTGTGAGGTCCCGAGTTCCTCCCCCTGCACCACAGAATCCTAAACAACACAAAGATTAACTTTTTTTTCTGTGTTTTTGAGACAGAGTCTCACTGTGCAGTTCAGGCTGGCCTTGAGCTCACTTTGGAGCCCAGGCTGGTCTCGAACTCACCACGATCCTCCTGCCTCAGCTTCCCAAGTGCTGGGATTGCAGACCTGGGCCACCACGCCCTGAAAAAGGATTAATTTTAATTTAAATAAGCACCAGGACCCAGTGAGCCGACTGTGTGTGTGAGAGGGAAAGAGACAGAGAAGGAAAAAGGCCAGACTGGAGGCTGAGAGAGGCCGATGGGAAGCCTGGAGGGGACTCTGCCAGGGCCACCAGGGCAGTGGAAATCCGGAGTTGACCGCTGGGCGATCGGCCCTGGACACCCCGAGGGAGCCACAGGGTGCATGTGGCTTGATGGCTGCTCTCAAGTTTAAATGCCAGGCCTGGCCTCTCGGGAGCTCAGCCTGCATTATCGATGTCCCCAGCGGCCGCTCGATTGTGGAGGACAGCAGTGGGAGCGGGAGGGGGAGCCTGCAGGTCCCCGAGTCCCTCTGGCCAGTGGGGCACTGCCATGCACACCCCTCTGAGCTCCTGCATGCCAGCAGAGGGTCAGGGAGGTGTGGTGGTGGAGGGGTGGCAGCCACTGAGCCCCGCAGGCGTCTCAGCCCAGACCCAAGGCGCATGGAGGTGTGACAGTGACCAGGGAGGGGTGGACATGCCCCAGACAGCTGCTCTCAGACCACCCCAATCCAGTGCGGCAGGAGGAGCCAAGCGTTAAGCTGAGGCCTGGGTCACAGGGGCCATGCGGGGCACAGAGGGAACCACAGTGTCTCGAGGTCAGGTGCTGAGGCTGCCGGGCTCAGGGAACTCAGCTCTGCAGACGTGGTGGGGAGACTGTGTGTCATGAGCACTCTTGGGGGGACGGATTTGTTCCTTTCCGCGGGACCTCCCTCTGCCCCCTCCTGCTGCTTGGCTCTGCTCTCCACCTGGCTCCCTTCGGGTTCCAAAGTGGCTGCCATAGCTCTGTCTTCTCCAGAACAGATGGGGTGCACACGTGCACATAGAGTAGGCACCCTAGCTCCCTCCACATCTCGCAGGCTGGGGTACTCTGGCCTGCCTGTACCCACACCTGTCCCCAGCAGGACTTGGGGTCTTTCCATGCTGAGCCAGGTGTGACCACTCCATGAAGTACCCGGGTGGCCACGGGAGGAGGGCAGATACCCACGCAGGGTCAGCTCCATGAACGAGGAAGAAGGAACTGTGTCCTTCAGCCACCGAGTCTGCAGGGCTCCTGAGAGCAGGAAGGGGCAGTGTGGTGCCCCCTGGCAATACAGGCGGGAGCAGCTGGAGACAGGGCTTAGCCCTCGCCCTGGAGCTGGGCTCCCCCGGGTGGGAAGGCCCCAAGGCAGGAGGGACAGCGTGGGACTTTGCTGTCTCTGGAACTGCGGGAGGAGCAGAACAGCAGGGGTGAGGAGGCTGTGCGACCCTGGCAGAGCCGGAGCCCTGCATCGTGTCTTTTGCCCCAGTGACAGGTGGCCCCTGTGCCCAGGTGGTCCCTTGTGCCTCCAGGTCAAGCCACCTGCTCCCCAAGCACAGAGCACAGCCTGTTGGCCGCTGAGCTGACCCTGCGGAGGCTTCCACAGGGCTGGGGCTCCTGCTCCAAGCTGGGGAGTGGTGGCCCCCTCATTCCCAGGCTCCCAGCAGCCACCCCAGTCCCCAGAGGTCTTTTAGGATCTGATTTCAAAGAACAAGAAGGCTGAAGGCACAGGGTTTTCCAAAACGGAACGAGAAACAGCTGCACTGCGTCCGAGGCAGAGGTGGGGCACCCACGCGGTCTCTGCCTCCTCCGCCCACAGCATGAGGGACGGGAAGCTGCAGCACCTGCTTGCTCGGGACCTGGTTCCTGGGGACATCGTGTGCCTCTCCGCCGGAGACCGGATCCCCGCAGACATCCGCCTCACCCAGGTGAGTCACACCCCTGCGCAGGCGAGCCAGCCGGGAGGTGGCCCGGGCTGCCCTAGAGCGCGAAGCCCACCCTCCGTCTCCATAAACGCTCGCTCCAGTGCAGGCAGGTGGCCCCTCTCCTGCAGCTTCCCTTTCCGGGGTTCAATGGCCACAGTCAGCCGAGGTCCAGGAGCAGCTTGGGAGCGTGCTGGTCGCCCTGCGTGGTCACCAGGGCCTGTGGCACTGCTGGTCACGTTGCCGGTGCCAAGGGACCGACTGAGCCATTCCGGTGTGGTGCCCGGGGAGGACCACGCTTCTGCAGGGCTTAGTACTCTGCAGACTCAGGCAGCCCTGGGGGCTCGGAAAGTGTCCCTTCCGCAGCCCGGGGGGCCTACAGGAGCCGACCAGAATTGGGCCCCCAAGGGACAATCTAGCGTGCGGCTGACTGCAGCAGCAGATTAGCCCAGGTGGGCTGGAGAGTGAGCCCAGCCCAGCCAATGCTGAGGGACGGTGACAGCGGGGAGGGACCCGGATCTGGGAGCCCGGCTCCACGTGGCCCAGTCCCGGCACTGCTGCCGGCCAGGGACAGCTCTTCCATCGGCCTGTCAGGATGGCGCCAGGCCTGGGGGTCCTCCTGCCCTGTCCAGGCTGCAGGAGGGATCTGTTTTCAAGGTGCAGAGGGAGGCTAAGTGCAGGCGTCTGCCTGGGACCAGCATTTCCGCGTCTGTGACCTTGGCTGCGGGCCGTCCCACCATGCACACAGAGCCTCCGGGCTGCGGTGGGCAGGGCCAGGCGAGGGCCACAGCATCTGAGGGTCAGCCACGGGCAGCTCCCACAGCGGCCACGCCCCCCGCATGGACACCTGTCTGTCTTTGTCACGTATCTGCCTTGGGCTGCAAGACCCTCCCCCGGCCGGGGCAAGGGGCGCAGACACAGGTGGCCGCCAGGAGGGTCCTGTCCGCTGCAGCTGCTGGCCTAAGGCAGAGGCTGGGTGACGCGGGTTAGAGCCCTGGGTCTGTGAGCCCGTGACCTTGAGCAAGACGCTTAACCTCTCGGCTGCTGTAAATGGGAGGGGCCCAGGTCACCCCAGGGCTGTTGGGAGGACTGAGTGAGGGTCCTGACAGGCGGGCAGCTGGATTGCCCTGTGAGGCCGCTGCCACTGGCCTCGCCTCCTGGGTTGGGGCCAGGAAGGGCGAGTGCAGACCTGCCCAGCACCGCAGCAGCAGCAGCTGGGTGGGGGAAGGGGTTCAGTCTCCACCCTGAGTGTGACCCGCCTGGCATGCCTCCCCTCACCGTGTCTCCCCACCCCACTCCGCTTGTGTGGTAAGGTGGACACCTCCGAGCTGGCTGGCGGCTGCTCTGCTGGTATTTTGCAACCCTGCTGGACAATCAGTGGCTTTGTTGATTCACAGTGGGAGCCTCTATGTGCGGTCATGCCATGGGATCCTGGAGCCTTCCCCGTGCCTCAGCCGGCAGGCCAGGATCAGCCCTCAAAGCCCTTCGGCCAAGCCACCCCGTAAACGCCTAGCACCTGGGGTCAGCAAAGGCCTCGCCCTCACCGAACCTGTAGAAGGGTCACCGAACCTGGTCAGAGGCAGCGGTCACTGTGGTTTTTTGTTTCCCTGGGCTTCTTGAGTAAGAAAGGGTTGAGCTGACTGTCGGGGCCCTGGGGAGCCGTGGCAGGAGGGGCCTGACGCCTGGGGTGACTCCAGCTGCACCCTGAGACCAGCCCCGCCCGCCTGCCTCAGTGGGTGTCGGGTGCTGCTGCCACAGAGCGAGGCAGAACAGCTCTGCGCTCTGCGGTGATGTAACGGGGAGGCCAGACCTGGCAGAGACAGGTTTCCTGGACAGTGTGCCAGGCTGGGCCCGCGTACAGCCAGGACTTCCTGCCGCAGAGTCCCTGGTGGCAGCTGGCGAGTGTGCACGTGTCCCCCCGTCCTGGGCTCCAGGTCACAGCCACATCTCATCCCAGCCCTTAACACCCCACCTCCAAACGCCCCTCTGATGAAGCCGCCAGTCTCACACCTCACGGGGGTCAGAGGCCGACACGGGCTGCACCCTCGAGCGCTCCCAGTCAGAGCGCTCAGTTCCGTGTGGGGCCCAGAGCAGGGCAGCACGGGCGCCCTGAGTGCGTCCCATGGTTGCCACGGTTAGCAGTGTTAAAAAGTGTGCTGAAGTGTCTCACAGCATTTAAAGTAGGGGGAGACTTTTATTTCCCAAGAAACAGCACCTTCCTGACCCCGACCTGGAGGCGTCCACGGCCACGGCTCGACACTGGTCCCCCGATTTTAACGCCTTCCCTGGAAGGTGCCCGTTCAGGCACCAGGTGCCAGTCGAGGCTCTAAAACCAACTCGCAGGGCGAGATGGGAGCTCCCGTGGCATCGTCTGCCCCCAGGTCACAGACCTCCTGGTGGATGAATCCAGTTTCACCGGAGAGGTGGAGCCGTGCAGCAAAACAGATGACCCCTTGCCGGGCGGCGGGGACCTCAGCGCCCTGAGCAACATCGTCTTCATGGGGACCCTGGTGCAGTGCGGGAAGGGCCAGGTGAGGCTGGGCTGCCTGCCGGGCTGAGGCCCACCGCCGCAGGCCCTCGGCTTCAGCTGCCTCTCTGCTCACGCAGGGAGTGGTGATCGGGACGGGGGAGAGGTCTCAGTTCGGAGAGGTGTTCAAGATGATGCAGGCTCAAGAGGTAAGCGGCCTGGGTGTGGGGGTCTGAACCGCTGCCCGGGAGGGAGCGCACGGGGTGCATCTGATCTTCCTTCTAAACCGTTATTTGGGAGCTGAGCAGGGTGTCCTCACGATGCAGCCCTCAGATGGCAGCGGCTGCAGGCCCCGGGGGAGGTCGGTGACCTGGTGCCCTGCGTGCGGAGTCACCCACACCAGAGCCGGCTGCGGCCCGAGGCCGGGAGGTGCCTGACAAAGCTGCTGTCCCTTGCAGACACCTAAAACGCCTCTGCAGAAGAGCATGGACCGGCTGGGCCGGCAGCTGACCCTCTTCTCCTTCGGCATCATTGGTGAGCGCCGGCTCCCTGCGGGGTTCTGGAGTCTGCGGGACCGTGTGGGGCGCCCGGCTGCCTCTCCTGCACCGTCTGCTCACCCGGGCACCTCGGGCTGGGACAGGAGACGCAGGACGGGCTGGGGGCCGTCACAGGGCCACACGGCTCCTGCTCTTCCACGGCCCAGAGCGGGTCCCGGGCTGGCGGCTCCCTTAACTCTGCCAGACCCCTGCTGCCTGGGTTCCCGGAGGGTACAACCCCACCAGCCTGCGTGGAGAGGGCACACACCAGGAAGTGGAGCTGGCACTGCTGCCCAGTCTGTTGGCCAGAGCTCGGTCACAGGACCGCCCCCAACTGCAAAGGATGCTGGGAAATGTAGTTAAATCCCGCCCAGAGTCCTGTTTTTATACTTCTGTGTGCTGAGCCTGGGCGGGCGAGGCTTGGCCTTTCAGCAACGCACTGAACGGCATCAGAATGATGCTCACACCTCCACGTAAGTCCCAAGCCTTCACCTCTGAGGGACGTCCGGCTCTCACCTCGGCCTCTGCCCTTTCCAGCACTGGCCTTGGTTCTTTGCAGGACTTTCTCAGTGAGCGTTTGATGAGTGAATGACCGATCAAGGGACATACAGGGAGGGGACATACTGTGAGTCTGGCTGAAACCACAGTGCCAGCACAGTTCCCAGACCCGGCCCAGCCGCAGTCACTGACTCGGTGGGTCTCCCACAGCATGCCACACCCCCATGCCAGGCTCGGGGCCCCCAGAAGTGACAGGAGATGTCACTGTTCCTCTGACTTGGGAGGTTCTAGGGAGGAGCTGATAGGGATCATGCGGGATGAGGAGGAGTTCTCCAAGTGGGGGAGGAGGTCCAAGCAGAGGGAGTGACATTCTGAGGGCACCAAAGATGCCTTCCACCATAAGGGGGAACCTAGCGCCCCGGGAAGAGGATGAGTCCTGGGGCTGAGTGGGCCGCACGCGCTTAGGGCCTGGCCCTGCCGTCGCCTCTCCAGGAGTGGGTTCCGAGTATTCAGTGAACAGTGTGGGCCCAGAGCCTGGCCTCATGCAAGTGGCTGTCACCGCAGTGTCCCTGGACACACAGCCCCAGCCAGGTCCGTCCCAGGGAAAGGGGGAAACTGAGGCTCAGGAGGCCCCGCTGCTTCCATGGTCACATGGCTGGAGAGGAGGAGGAGCTGCCCCTCCCCGGTGGTGGTGTAGGCTGTGTCCTCCCCTCCCACATCCTGGGCACGCCCCGGTGGGTCTGGGCAATTTGGATGGCACAGCTGCCAGCAGGTTTTTATGTTTTGAGACGAGGTCTCTGCTGGATTACCAGGAACTTGTGATCCTCCTGCCTCAGCCTCCCTGGCTAGCAGACTTGACACTTAAACCCTGTAACAATTCCCAAGCGAGGCAACCTCACGATCCCATTCTACAGAGAGGGAAACTGAGCCTGCTCCTTGCAGCCCCAACACCCCTCCGAGATGCCAGACTGTGTGGTGCAATCTCTTGGGTGCCAGCTAAAGGTCTCTTGGTGACAGCCCAGGGCCCCAGTGCCCGGCATAAGACCTGGTACACAGTAAACCTTAGTAAATGATGGGGGAAAAGGAAAATGGACAATTTAACTGGGAGCAAACATAAACAGTGGAAGTGGTCCCTGCCCCGGCAGGGCGTTGGCCTGCGGGCGTGAGGCTCCAGGTTCCAGCCCCAGCACTGCGGAGGCAAATGTGCCCTGTGCCATCCCAGGAGTGGCTGGCACGGCCCACACATGGGGACCCCCAGGAACCGTCTCTAATTTACACGATGGCACTTGAGGTGAGCACAGTTGGGACGAGCCCGGCAGGAGCAGCCAGGACCTTTCCTGAAAACGGCGCTTTTTAAAGCGTGAACGCTCCCTTAGTCAGTAAAGACGCAGGCGAGACTCTCGAGGTCACTCGGCTCCCTGCGCGGCTCCCTGTGAGGTCCCTGCGGGCCGCGGGGGACCCAGGCCGCCTCGTCTCCCGCAGGCCTCCTCATGCTCATCGGCTGGGTGCAGGGCAAGCCGCCGCTCGCCATGTTCACCATCGGGGTCAGGTAAGCGCCGGCCGGGCCTCCCCTTCCCTGGGCGAGCAAGGGCCGAGGGGCAGGAGGACGGGCGCGGCGGGGCACCTGACCCCAACAGGCCCCAAGGTGCATCGCCAGACAGGGCAGGGTCGGGGCGCACAGCATGTGCTTTGGGGCTCCTTTTGCTGTCCTGGGGAACTGCTGGGCTCAGAGCGTGAACCCCGGGCCCAGCCTGCCAGGGCGGAGGTTCTGCCTTGGTCACCTGCTGGTGATGTGTCAACCACAGTGACCAGGTGGGCGCCGGAGACCTGTCTTAACGCCATCTACAAGGACCTGGTGTCTGAGCAAGGGCCAGGGGGCCAGGGAAGCTTGCACGGGCCTGGGATGAGGAGGCACTCATGGGTGCAGATGCCAGGTGCCCCGCAGGGGTCAGTCTAGGATCTCGGGAAACCCAAGGGGCGGGGGCCAGGTCTGCTGTGATGGGGAGCAGTGCAGGAGGGACATGGGCCCTCGGCCGTCCTTCACAGCCCCGGGGTCATGCTGGTGTCCATGACTCTGGTCAGGACACTGAGGTTGGGGTCCCTCTAGCTTTCCAGGGCGGCCTTGGCCGATGTCTCTGCCAGGACAGGGGCTCTTCCAGCCACTGCTGCATCCCTGCCCTCAGCGGCCAGCAGCACTGGCCCATCGTTTGTCCCCTCAGGTCCCCCACTGAGCAGCGGTGCCTCTATTTACCTCCCCCGCACGCCGGCCGTACAGGTCTCTGTCCTGTGGCATTGCCAGGCAGGAGGAGAAAGCTAACAGCAGGAGTGGGCTTAGCATCTGCCCTGCAGGGGGCGCTGCAGGGATGGGGTGCCAGGCCTGGCCGTGGCCAGGGCAGTTTCCTCACGGAACTGAACGCAGGGCATGCCTGGGGCAGGAGCAGGCTTAGGGCTCAGGTGGCACCGTCGGGGGACTCGGCTGGGACAGCCAGGACGTGCCGGCCTCCGTCAGGGAGGCACAAAGGGCAGCCCGGGCCCTGCGAGGCCCTGACCTCTCCTGGCCCCCCGTCACCCCAAGCCCAGCATCCTCCGAGTCTCTGGGGCTGGGGGATGAGAGACGCTGGTCCTGGGGTGGAGCCCCAGCTTGTCACAGAGAAAGGGGCTGGTAGCCACCGGTGCTGAGCACTGTGTGGAGCTCAGGGTGACTGAGTGTGACGCCTAGAAGAACAGGGCTGGACAGACCTCCCCGCCGCGCTCACGGGAGCCCGAGGCACTGAGCAGGGCGGCTGATGAGACGGTGACACCGTGATCCCGGCACACTGGGAGGCTGCGGCCGGAGGGTCCACGTTCCAGCCCAATTTGAGCAACTCAGCAATTTAATAAGACCCTGTGGTCACCCGTTTCCCCTGGCACGGGCGGGGGAAGCAGAGGTCCCGTGCCCACGCCAGGGTGAAGGTGGCCTGAGGGGCAGGGCAGCACAGAAGGCTGAGCGTGGCCCCTGGAGCCACAGAGCCCGGGACCTCCCTGGCAGGGCGGCAGAGGCAGACCCGGAAAGACGCCCACACATTCCCGGGGTGACCGGAGCGCGGCCTGCCCGCCCGCCACAGGAACCGTCCCTGCCTGATCGTGGTGAAACCGCACCTGAGAGAAAACGCCCTCCTTCCACCCTCGAGACCAAAAGGGTCAAAGCTGTTGTTCTCAGCTTCAGATTCAGGTCGCCGGAAACCCCGAGCCGGCCGGGACGTGGGCTCTGCGGGCAGAAGAGCTGGTGACACTGTCCGAGGTAAACAAAGGCGGCCACCGTCGGACTCAAGACGTCGCCCTGCTGCCCGCGGCACCAGGGTGACCCGGGAGCTGCTCTTCCGGGCCTCTGACCTTTATTAGTCAGTCTGGATTAATCTTCATCTCCGTGAGGCCTCTGACGCCCTCCGGCCCCCCAACCCTCTGCGAATGTTTGCCCGGCTGGCCTCGCCCTCCTGTGCCATCAAACCCCAGACGGCTTCTTGCCATCGCCATGGAAACGGGGCACAGCCCCTTGGCCGACAGTCCCAGAGCGTCCAGCATGCGGGTGAAAGGTCGCCGTGCCCACAGTTCCTGTGGTGGGCAGGGTTGGCGCACACACACAGTCTGGAGGGTTATTTTACAACATTCATCCAAAACTTCAAATGCAGAAGCTCACAGGAGAGGTGTCCACACACAAGAGGCCCAGAGAGCCCAGCTGAGAGCCTGGATCCCCTGCAGTGTCCTGCACAAGTCCAGCTGGAGGCCCAGGGCCCACAACAGTGTCTCAATTCTGTATGAAGGACCTGCGCTGGGGAGGCCCAGGGGTCAGCGGGGGAGCTGAGAGTCTGCGCCAGGCGTGAAGGGCTGTGCCAGCAGGAGGGGTCTGCACTGGGCCGGGAAGCGACGTTCACAGTAAGGACCAGGGCTCCCCAAAGGGGACCACAGCCGCCTCAGCGACAGCGCGGACACTGCTTTGAAGACACGGGGCCCCTGAGCTGCCATTCCTCAACACGCTGCAGTCTCCGGCAGTCGCCAGCCTGCTCTGACTCTGGGGTCACCTGTCTGGGTGACCGTGGGGGTCACGTGGCCTCTGTGCCCAGCTCCTCCCACCCGGCCTCAGGTTTTCAGGGTTCATCTGTATCGTAAGGTGTTAGCGGAACTCCGTTCCATTTCAGGGCTGAGTAGTATTCCACCGCGTGGACAGACCACGCTTTTCCACCCGTTTGTCTGTTGGTGACTGAGTTGTTACACATGTTGTTCAGATGTCTTAAAGGAAAGTTTCAAGAAGATCTCAAGGTAAAAGGAACAGGGAGGTGACCGCCAGGTAGCTGCTGTGGCCTCCCGAGGCACAACTGCAGTGCTCATCTGCAAGCTGGGTCCAGCCCAGCACATGCAAAGCAGCCCCCAGGCCTCAGAGGCCGTCGTCAGCGGGTCTCTGCCCCACCTCGCATCGCAGGGAGGAGAGCTGGGCCCGGGTGTGTGGCACAGAGGAGCTGGAGGCTGGGCGACGCCGGCAGTTGCCCAAAACAACCCGTCCGGTGCCCGAAGCCTCCACTTTGATACCCTCACCCGGATTCCTCGGCACCAACAGCAAAATCCCAGGGCCCAGGGAGGACGCTCAGGGCGCCCAGACTGGCATTTGCGGGGCAAGGCCTGAGGACCAAAGATTTTCTCTAACGCAGAATAATATAAATGCAGAAGTGTCTCGAAAGACACTAACTCGTGCTAAGGTGTGACTGACTGATAGGAGAGGTCCCTTCCCAGAAGCCAGGGAGGCTGGTGCACAGTGGGATCAGGGTGGCACCTACAGCCGGGGACCCTGGGGACACACTGGCCAGTCACACTGTCCAGAGTGCGTGCTCAGTGCGGCGTGGGCACCTCTGCTTCCCCCAGCCTGGCCGTGGCGGCTATTCCCGAGGGCCTGCCCATCGTGGTCACAGTGACGCTGGTTCTGGGCGTGCTGCGCATGGCCAAGAAGCGGGTCATCGTGAAGAAGCTGCCCATCGTGGAGACGCTGGGTGAGGGGCCTGGCACGGTGGGCGGAGGGCGGGGGTGCAGACTTGAGGGGGCGGAGGTGGCCCCGGTCCTCGCGCTGATGCTCTGTGGCCCCAGGCTGCTGTGACGTCATCTGCTCTGATAAGACGGGGACTCTGACGGCCAACGAGATGACGGTGTCCCAGCTGGTGACGTCTGACGGGCTGCGCGCGGAGGTGGGGCTTTCTCCGGGGACGTCTTCCTGGGTGCAGGGACAGCGGGGACGGACCTCAGTGGGACTCAGCGGCATCAGCCCCGCCCCGCGTGCCCGCAGGTCAGCGGCGTCGGCTACAGCAGTGCAGGGACCGTGTGTCTCCTCCCAGCCAAGGAGGTCCTCAAGAAGTTCGCCTGCGTGTCTGTGGGGAAGCTCGTGGAGGTGACGCGTCCCCCACAGGCAGCTCCCCAGGCTCAGGCTGTCACGCTGCAGCCAGGGTGGCCCAGGACTGAGGGGACTCGGGGGTGGGGCCAGGGGAGCAGATTCAGCTGCCCGACTCGAGAGAGCCCTGCAGAAAGGCTGCGTGGACGCCGGAGGTCACGTGGCCCGTGGCCCCACTGCTGTGCGTTCCTAACAGTAAACGTAGCAGCCTCTGCACACGCCGGCCCCACCACGTGGCCGGCGTCCCGTCCCGGCTCTGTGCTCGGGCAGCAGAGCCAGCTTTCCCACAGTCCTGGGTGAGCCTGGGGATCCCGGGGGCCACTTCCGGGGCTGACCGCGGACTTCCTGAACTGCTTTCAGGCGGGCTGCGTGGCCAACAATGCTGTCATCGGGAGGAACACGGTGATGGGGCAGCCCACGGAGCGAGCCCTGCTCGTGCTGGCCATGAAGGTGGGCGCCCGGGGAGCACCACGGCCTGGGAAGTCCTGCAGTCTCGGGACCCAGGGGGGTCCTCCAGTACCCCATGGCTCGAGTGCTGAGCAGACTTGGGGGAGACAGATGGCAGGAGGCCCACCGAGGTGCCCAGCAGTGGCCGTGGCCTCTGTGCCTCCGGGGTGTGTGGCACACAGCAGACCTGAGTTTACAGGAGGGGAACCTGCGTCCCGAGCTGTAGGGTGACTGGCCTGGAAGCCATCACAGCCCACAGGACAGGTCTGCAGGGTCCTGGCCGAGCAGCAGGGCCACCCCAGGACACAGAGGTCCTCCAGGAAGCTGCCTGCCCCTCACATTCCAGCAGACACCCCACAGGCCCCCGTCCCCAGGGAGTCAGCAACGCCCTTGGGACCTGACCAGGACGTGACAACAGGGACTTTCCCCCAATGGGGCACCTGAGCTGAGGGCTGGCATCTCCGCTAAGTGACCAAGTGGCCCCTGCAGACTGCGCACCTGGGGACGGCCTTTGGGCCGCGCCACAGAAACGCCGTCTGCTCCCCAGATGGACCTGGGCGACATCAGAGAGGCCTACGTCAGGCAGCAGGAGATCCCGTTCAGCTCTGCGCAGAGGTGGATGGCCGTGCGCTGCCGCCCGCGGGCCGAGGTGAGTGTGGGCACTCGCTCCATGCCCCTGCCCCCACGCAGCCAACAGCGGCCAGGGTGACATCCCCACAGTCGTGGTGACTTTAGAGCCACCGCACACGTCCTCCCCGGCTGTCACGCTAGCTCACAGCATGCCACAGAGGGGACAGGACCGCTCGGCCCTGAGGCACCCAGAGCCACGCCCGGCGGTGTGAGTGACGGGCTGACTGTGTGTGTGTGTGTGTGTGTGTGTGTGTGTGTGTGTGTGTGTGCGTGCGCACAGACCCGGGCCGGGTACGAGCGCTGTAGGTGACAAGGGTCCCGCTCTGACCTCTCCGTGCGCTGGGTGGGGACTGTGTGCTTTCCCATTTGCCCGGAGACGTCGCTCTGCATTTCCGGACCCCGAGCCTTCTGCCCGGGGACCCAGCGCGGCCGTGTGCCCCACCTGGGCGGGTCCCCCCCCTCCTGCTGGCTGCTCCCAGGTCCCTGAGGGAGCCTGACACATTCCAAGCGCCTCAGAGAGCCAGAGACACCAGGAGCACCTCCCTCGGGAAAGGCGGCTGGCGGCGGGGCTGAGACGCAGGCTCTGTGACTTGGCTCCTCCTCCGCCACGCCGCAAGTGGCACCTGCCGGTGTACTGAGCACCGCAGTGGCACCTGCAGGTGTACTTAGCACCTGGCCCTGGTGTTAGCGTGTGGCAGCAGTGTGCCACCCGGAAGGCTGCTGAGCAGCTGCTGGCTGTTCTGCACCCAGCTCCACACCCACCCCAGCTACATTTTCAAAACAAGGCCACAGCGTCTTTCTGTGCCAGCTAACAAACAGTTCCCCACCATCCTGGCTGTGCCCACCTGGGGACCCCACGGGACCAGAGGGTCTGGCGCATAACACAGTGCTTGCTTAACAGGCAGGACGAAAGGTCCACTGTTCACCCAGGTTGACTCCCAGTGCCAGGGGTCACGTGGAGCCTCCACTTCCTGCGTATCAAGGCTTCCCTGTGACATTAAAGGGGCACCTCCTAGCAAGCAGGGTGGTGGTCAAAGGCCAAGGTCATTCTTTTTATGGGCTGCATAGTATTCCATGCTGTGGATTCCAAGGCTCATTAATTTGTCTTGTATCCAGAACAGCAGTCTCTACAGTAACTGCATTGGGAACCCTCCTATATGTGCAGAACGAGGTGACGGCCACCTTGTGCAGAGGCATCTGAGTGGATCCCTTCTTTTGTGTTTTCCAAGGACCAGGGAGACGTTTACTTCATGAAGGGGGCCTTCGAGGAGGTGATCCGCTCCTGCACCACCTACAACAATGGGGGCATCGCTCTGCCCCTGACGCCCCAGCAGGAGGCGCTCTGCCTGCAGGAGGAGAGGAGGATGGGGTCGCTCGGCCTGCGAGGTCAGTGCAGGCCCAGCCCGGGCTCCAAGCTTCCCAGGGCTTGTGGGCAGCACAGGGTCCCGGATGACAAGCAGGCAGCTTGGGGTTGGGCAGATGGAGCCTCTGCCCCTCCCCAGCACTAAACACCTGCCTGTTCAGAGTGGCGGGGTGGGGGGTGTGGGACACCCCAAACTCCAGCACCCCAGCAGGTTAGAGGCGAGACTGCCACGTGGCCCAGGCCATCACATCCGTTCCCGTCCCAGGTGTGGGCCTGGGCCGGGCGCTGGACCAGGTGCCCACGGGGACTGTAGCTCAGTGTGCCAGGCTGCCGCGAGGCCCCAGAGGTGGGGGACCCAGCACTTAGCACTGGCGACCCCAGGGACTGGCTCTGGGCCTCTGCGAGGTGGCACAGGGCTGGTGGCCAAAGCCACGAGCCCCTGAGGCCCCTGCAGCCGGAGGAGGCCGTGTGCCTTGCAGGCCAGGGCTGGCAGGGTGACCAGAAGGACCGTCCTCGGCCAGGGAGTAGACAGAACAGCAGTGGCATCGTCAGCACACAGCACTTGGCACTCGGAATCGGTGTGCTTTGCTGGCGCTGGCCGCGGCCGGTACCGCAGTGTGCCACAGGGAAGCGCTGCCCGAGGCGCCTCCCCTTCCGGGGTCAGCAAGGTGACAAAGGCTGGTCCTCACGCCGCCACCTTTCCGATCGCCTGGCCCCAGAGCAGGCTTGGCCTTGGAGCCACTGAAAACGGGGTACATGGCACAGACAGCCTCCCGGCCGCGGTTCCTAGCGGGCGCTGGCGCCAGCCCTCGGGAGCCGCTGCTGCTCCTGCGGGAGTGACGAGGTGAGCCCTGAGCACGAGGGCAGAGCCGCCACCGTCACGGTCCCCAGCCTGCCCCCCGCAGGGCTCTGGGCCACATGCGGGCGAGTTCTGCCTCCTCCCTGGCTTGGGCACTCGCATCACAGGGCCTATGGGGGTGGGCACTGCCAGCCTGGGACACTTGCACCTGCTGGCCCAGTGACCCTCCCCGGGTCTCCCCTCTCCGCAGTGCTGGCGCTGGCGGCGGGGCCGGAGCTGGGGAGCCTGACCTTCCTGGGGCTCGTGGGCATCATCGACCCCCCGCGGGATGGCGTGAAGGAGGCGGTCGGCGTGCTCTCCAGGTCGGGGGTGTCCGTGAAGATGATCACGGGGGACGCTCTCGAGACGGCCTCAGCCATAGGTAACGGGGCGAGGGCAGGGGCGCCCTCCTGTACCTGGCACCACCCTTGCCAGTCTGTCTTTGGGGAATCAGGGCTGTCACACCCAGCTTGAGCACTCAGAGCAGCCCCCCAGACCCAGATCCGTGTCCCCCGCTCTGCCTCCCCAGCTGCCTCTGCTTCCAGGACGCCGGCAGGTTCTCCAAGAGGGGACACAGGTGTCCTCACCTAAACAGGACCTACTGGGTGCTGGCCGCACCCTGCCTTCAGGGCAGAGGCGGTACCTGCCACCGGCTCTGCACCCCTGGGAAACGGAGGTCCGCTCTGCCCTCCGTGGCAGAGGATTGGCAGGTCCTCCTGCCCCGCCGGGGAAGCGCCTTGTGCAGGCTGCCCTCACCCCCGCCGGCCTTGAGACGGCGTTGTGCCATGAGGTGGCAGCGGGCTTCAGAGACAGAGCCACCTCCGGGCCTGCTTGCTGCCCCAGCTCCTCCGCTTCCGTCTAACTGGGCAGCACAGGGCTCTGCTGGGAGTGGGGTGGGGCCACGGTGCTCAGTGGCAGCGTCCATTGTGGTTTCATTCCATCATTTCCTGCTGCGAAGATGGAGGCTGGTGTCAGGTAGGTGAGGGGACACGTGGGGGGAGCCACTCCAGCCCTGAGCGAGCCCCCAACCCGGGTCCCCCTGCAGGCAGAGACATCGGTCTGTGCAACGGGGAGCTGAGCGCCATGTCGGGGCAGGAAGTGGAGAGCATGGAGCCGGACGCCCTGGCGGGCCGCGTCAAGGAGGTGGGTTCCTTGGCGGCCCGGCCCGCTGCTGGGGGCGATGCCTGGCAGCCACAGCGCCAGGGGGACAGCCTGACGGGGCAGTGGTTATGGGGCTTCAGTCCGTGGCCAGCTGCTCCACGGGAAGAGGGACCACGGCCCCCGCTCTGGCACAGCCCAGGCACCACGTGGCCGAGCCCACACTGCAGAGCAGCTGGCGGGGCCCGCGCCACGCACGTCACCCACTCCTCTGTGTTGCCGTTCTCAGGTGTCTGTGTTCTTCCGGACCAGCCCGAAGCACAAGCTGAAGATCATCAAGGTGCGCCGGGCAGGGGCACAGTCATGCCACTGTGCCAGTCACGTGGCTCCAGGCCCCACGGGTCCTTGGGGCAGCCCGAATGGGTGGTGGCTCAGTTCTGCTGTCCTCTGGGTCCACGGCACGGGCACCGACCCTGTGCCCCAGCATGTTGTCAGCTGCAGCTTTAGTTGCAAGGCATTCTGGGAGCTTCCCCCCCAGCAGGGCAGAGCCGGCCCGGCTAAGGTGGGAGGACGGGGCCAAAGCTGGAACCTTCGGCAGGGCAGCTCTGTCCATTTCGAGCGGAGGTCTTGCCTTTCATTCTCGGCACTTGTGGGCTACAGGCTAACTCTCTGCACAGATGGCTCCCAGAGATGCCCCCGCACGGGCAGCCCTGGCCCGGTCCTCGGGACCAGGGTGAGCTCGCCGGCCTCTGCCTGTAGCTGGGAACCTCCCTGTCCCTTGGCCCTTTGGGCCTTGCCACAGCCCAGTAAGGCAAGGCTAGCTGCCCTCAGGAGGGGTAAACTGAGGCAGCAGGTCCATGGGCCGTGGGAGGAGCCTGTGTGGCGTCAGGAGGGGGTCTCATTGGGGTCCTCGGCCCTGGCCCCATTGCCCGTGCTTCCCCCAGGCGCTGCAGGAGTCGGGGGCCGTCGTAGCCATGACGGGGGACGGAGTGAACGATGCGGTCGCCCTGAAGTCCGCAGACATCGGGATCGCCATGGGGCAGGCGGGCACGGACGTCAGCAAAGAGGCCGCCAGCATGATCCTGGTGGATGACGACTTCTCGGCCATCATGTAGGTGCCCGCTACGTGGCTTCCTAGTTGCATAACCAGCAAAGACGTCTAGGCAGGTGGCACGGGGCTGTGATCCAGACGGCCTGGGAGGCTGAGGCAGGGGGGTGGCCATTTTCAGCCCAGGCCTGCAGCTCATGGGCCTGTCAGTGGGAACACGGCTCAGGCTGAAGGCCCGGGGTCATTGTCCAGTAACAAAAAAAGTGAAGCCGATGCACCACAAGAATCCTGGAAACGGCCGGGCGTGGTGTGCTGGCCTGTAATCCCAGCACTCTGAGGCTGAGGCAGGAGGGTCTCGGGAGTGTGAGGCCAGCCTGGGCTGCAGTGAGCCTCGGTCTCAAAAACCCAAAAGAAGCCTGAAAACGCTTTCCCCTAAAATAAGTCACAGCGTGCAGAGACTATAAGCATTATGCTCTCAGATCTTTCGCAAAGTTTTAATAAAAATGGGGGTTCACAGTCCCCCACCCCAGCGACCCCGAAAAGCCCCTGGGGACACAGTGTCTCTAACGCCCCCTTGGCTTTTCCCTGGATCCTGTGCTCAGGGCTCCAACTGGGAACCAAGCACTAAGCACTCGGTGCTGGGCAGGGCTGGGCTACTGGGTCTGGCCGGACGCTGGAGCACAGGGTCTGCGCGCAGGGCTGAGGGTCACGGCTGCTGCCCTGTCCCTTGCAGGAGCGCGGTGGAGGAGGGGAAGGGGATTTTCCACAACATCAAGAACTTCGTGCGGTTCCAGCTGAGCACGTGAGTGGGGAGCGGCCGCGGGCCCCTGCCGTGGCAGCTGGTGGGCAGCGGGGCTGAGGCTGCGTCTGTGCTGCCCCCAGGAGCATCTCGGCGCTGGGCCTCATCACGCTGTCCACCGTGTGCAACCTGCCCAGCCCGCTCAACGCCATGCAGATCCTGTGGATCAACATCATCATGGACGGGCCGCCGGCGCAGAGGTCTCAAACACGCTGCCTCTGTCACCAGGCCCAAGGGGGGCAAAGGCCTGGGTTGGGTCCCCAGAGCCAGGCTGGCACCTGTGTGCCCACAGGGCTGGCAGAGGCGGGGGGCCAGGGTCCGCTGTCCCCCAGGGCCCTGGCTCATCTCCGTGGCGTCTGTCCTGTTCCGAGCAGCCTGGGTGTGGAGCCTGTGGACAGGGACACCCTGCGGCAGCCGCCCCGGAGCGTGGAGGAGACCATCCTGAGCCGCGCGCTGGTCCTCAGGGTCCTCGTGTCGGCGGCCACCATCCTCAGCGGGACCCTCTTTGTCTTCTGGAGAGAGGTGAGTGGCCGGAGCAGTCCGTGAGCACCAGGTGGGGACACGGCGTTCGGGGAGGGCCGGGAGGCAGAGGGCAGGGGCGCCCCCTGGGGCGGCAGGAAGCCAGCAGAGGCGGCTTCTCTCCTGGGACAGGAGGCCCTGCTTTTACGGTCACCAGGAAATTACTGGAAGGCTCCCCCTGTCTTTCCTTTGGGGACATCCTGTGGGTCACTTCCCACCGCCTGCAGGCGGCACAGGGAGCCACTGACCGAGCAGGGACGGGGGCAGGCAACGGGGCAGCCTGTGGGGGTGGAGGACACCGGCTGTCCCTTCTCCCAGTCGTCTCCTGCCTGGGACTCGGGGCTCAGCCGGTCCCCCGCTCTGTTTAGCCACGCTGGGGTCGGGGGCGCAGACCAGGCCTACAGCTCCTGCGGGAGCAGCGGGTCCCACCAGGCAGGGGTGTGGGGCGAGAACGGCCCAAACCTCCCCCCGGCCTCCCTGGAGGCCACGACCCCCTGGGCGCTGCCCTCGGCAGCCCCAGGGCGGCAGCACAGCAGGTGTGGCAGGGAGCAGCGGCCCCGGGGTGGGGGGGCACCGCTCGGGTCCCCCAGCACCGCCCTGTGGCCAGGTCCCCGATGACAGAGGCAGCTCGCCGCGCACCACCACCATGACCTTCACCTGCTTCGTGCTCTTCGACCTCTTCAACGCCCTGACCTGCCGCTCTCAGGTGGGCTGGGGGGACCCCCCGCGCCCCGCCTGCTCCCCTCCTCCCTCCCTGCCTGATCTGGCAGCAGCGAGCGGGCACAGACGTGGACCCTGGCCGAGCTGAGGTCCCCTTTCTCCCCGCAGACCAAGCTGATCCTGGAAGTCGGCTTCCTCAGGAACCGCATGTTCCTCTACTCGGTCCTCGGCTCGCTGCTGGGCCAGCTGGCCGTCATCTACGCCCCACCCCTGCAGAAAGTCTTCCAGACGGAGAACCTGGGCGCCCTCGGTGAGCGTGGGGACCTCGGGTGCTGGAGCCCCGAAGGCCGCTCGCACCTGCGCGTCTGCCCTGAGCCCCTCGGGCACACAGGGCACGGTCGGAGCCCAGGAGGCCGCCTCCCCGGGTAGGACCTGGCAGGGCCTCGGCATCCTAGGGCCCAGGCGGGAGGTGCCGCCGCTGGCTTCCCGGGCTCAGCCCTGACGTCCGACCAGCTGAAGCCCTAGGCAGGGGGCAGGGCCACCCACCATGCCAGCTGAGGACACGCTGAGCGCCCCTGCTCAGAACTAGGGGCTCCCCCAAGTCCTCAGCCAAGTGGACAGGGGCGTGAGTGGTCCCTCAGCCTGCAGCAGAGGACAGGAGTGAGCCTGAGCCAGTGCCCCCATCAGGCCCATGCTTGCCCTTGGCCGCCACCACCAGGCAACAGAGGGCAGAGGACCCCGGGGAGGCGGCCCCCAGACAGAGCCGGTGCTGAGGCTTTGGCCTCAGTCCCGAGCCCCGAGAGGTCAGTCCCGTGAAGCTGGACAGATGGGCCCGAAGGCCCTGGGGCCAGCGAGGGCCGGAGAGAACAAAAGGAGCCAGAGCCAGTTGGGAAATGGACGTTCCTGCAGAGGGAGCAGCCGGGCCTGGGCGCCCCGCAGCCCCCGCCCCGTGCTTCCTCCCCCCCCCCGAGAAGGGAGGCGGACTCCACGTGCCCGGAGGACAGGGCTGACCCGCGCCCGCTCCCTGCAGATCTGCTGTTCCTGACGGGGCTGGCCTCAACCGTCTTCATCCTGTCGGAGCTCCTGAAGGTCTGCGGGAAGTACTGCCCCTGCCCCGGCCCAGCCCAGGAGCCCCCCGGGGCGCCCTGACGCCGCGCCGTCCGCATCTGTGGCCTGGGACACGGGGAGGGGTAGGCAAAGCTGTGTATTTATTAAATCACAACGGTTTTTACTAAGCTCAGCGCTCAGGTCTTTGTACCACGGTGACCGCGCTGGCCGTCCCGAGGCAGTTTCTGCAGCGCGGTGACAGGGCCCGCTGATTACTTTAGGTTTGCACCAGGCACCAAGAAACAAACCAAACCAAACACTAAAGCACGGTTTGCATAAGATCGAAGTTTCTCACTCACACGCACAGAGGTGCAGACACAGCCCAGGGCGTTCACAGGAGCAGCAGCAGTGGAAGGGCAGAGGGCGCCATCGTGCCCCCCGACCTCAGTGGCCGAGGAAGGAAATGGACGCGCCCAGGCCACACCTGCTCTCCACGAACCCCAACACGCGCTCCCGGCAAAAGTTCTCCATCACACAAACGCAAAGGGACACAAAGGGCCAGGACTGCTGAGTGACCGGCCCTGGGCCAGCGATGGTGCGCCTGCGGCAGGCGGGCTGCAGCCCTGGACGGCTCGCTGTCGCCCGCTAGGTGCCAGGCATGCGGGTGGGAGGCAGCTTCGCTGAGGGACCGGCTGAGAAACAGCAGGGGAAGGACGGACGGACGGGGTGACCCTCACCTCTCGGCCCGCGGCTGTGGTGACTCCAGACTCTGAGTTTCCATAAATTGTCACTCACGTGGCAGCAGCGTGTCCACAGGAAGACCTGGCCCAGGAGCATTGTTAGGTGACCCACTGCAGGTGCAAAAGAATGGAGGTAGCAAACCACAGGGACACAGGCACCCCGGCTTTACTGTGGCCTGGTTTACGCCAGCCAAGGTGCAGGCCCAGCACGGGTATCCACGGAGGGCAGAGCGGGTCAAGAAAACATGTGATGTATGTGCGGTGGAGTAGTATTCAGCCATGAAGAGGATGAATACTACTCCACCGCACATACATCACACGTTTTCTTGAGCCCCGGAGGGAGGCCTGCCTTCCGCGCTCCGCGCTCCCCACACGCCCACCCTCTTACTCAGCATGCACACGGGCTCACACCTGCATCCCAGCACTCCGGAGGCTGAGGCAGGTGGATCGTGGCGAGTCTGAGACCAGCCTGGGCCACGAAGTGAGCTCAAGGCCAGCCTGAGCTGCACAGCGAGACCGGACTCAAAAAGACCAAAATGCACACGTATACAAACATACATAAATACACACACACACATTTGGCGGGAGAGACAGCAGCCACGTTTGCGACAGGACAGGCCATCACTCTGGGCCCTGCTGGTCAGTGCACGGAGGGGACCTCGAGGCCCGACCCCTGCGGTTCTTACTCCGGATCCCCAGCAGGACAAACTCCCCGTTAAAATGCAGTCACCCATGTTTTTCAGACCTGCACAAGGGCCTACTGCGTTCAGGGACCTCATGGGCGCGGCGAGCAGCTCTGTACCCTGAGAAGTGTGTGACAGCCCAGAGGTGTCAGAGCACCTGGGCCGAGGGCCGGGGAGCCCCACGGCTGGCCCCCACCTGCCGCAAGAGGGCTGCACCCCCAGGGTACCAGAGGCCTGGCGGGGCACCCCGTCCCCATCCCGGAGTAGGGTGCTGCCTTGGGAAGCAGGGACCCCGGCTGTGCGCTGCACTCTGGCTAGGCCGGGTGCAGGGTAAAGTTGGGGTGCAGGGCCCCATGACCTACCCGGGCCCCAAACAGCAGTAAATGCAGGCGCCGCAGACCTGCTAGGAGTGAGGTATTCAACTGCATTTTTATTTTTTAAAAATCCACATCGCAGTGATGACGAGGACCCCGATTCCCTGGACTGCGGTGGAAACCACTGTGGACTCTGCGTCTTATCAGACGCCCCCACGTGCACCTGAGGAGACGCGCCAACGGCTACCCCGCGAAGTCTACACAGGCGGCATCAGGACGCCGTCCCCAGCCTGCGCAGAGGGCGCTTTTGTGAAGCCGATTTACAAGGCCCTGCCGCAGCCGGGGTCGCCCCGGGGCACGCTGGGTAAAGGGAAATGCAGGAATCTGCAGAGCGCAAACTGGCTCGAGTCCTTCCGCACAGCTTCTCTCGGAACGGAGACCCCTTTTCCCTGATCTGGGCCCCAAGGGGCGCTCGGGGTCCTCGGGCGGGCCCCCAGGGCCGGGACTCTCCGCCCTGGGCTTCAGGCCTGGACCGCAGCACCCCAAGGACGAATGGTCCGCACTGCAGGATCCCGGGCCCTCCTGCTCTCCGGTCTGGAGTCCTGTCCTGTCACCTGCCTGCTCCCAGGGGAGCCGCCGGGGCAGGGCGGGTGGCCCGGCCGATGGGCCTCAGTCTGGACTCCAGGCCAGCACTGGACGGCACTCAGTGCGGGTTTGTGGGTTGGGCCACGTGCACCTTCCTGAACCTGGGGCCCCAAGTATCCCCGACCCGCACTAGTGATGGAAGGGAACCCCTGCTTCTCTGCAGATGGAACCCCAAACCTCCAGCCACAGTGAGTGGTTTGGAGACGGAGCCCTAGCGGCCGACACCTCCTGAAGACCCATGCCGTGGCGGGGCCAGCTGTCCCCAGCCTCTTCAGCTGCTTCCCCGGTGCTGGGATATTTGGGCTTGGGGTTGATTTTTTAATAACGAACACAGAGTCCACACTGTTGGAAGCGTGGCGATTCCCACCCACAGCCTCTGCCCTCCTAGTGGGCCATCGGGGAGGCCTGGGAAGAAGTCAGGTGACCGCTGCACGTGGCAAAGTTTGTGCCGGTTGATGCCAGCAGAGCCCCAAAGGTCTCGTTTTTGGACCCCACTGGTACAAAATGAACACTGCGTAAGGCTAAGCGGCTCGTCCCATGCACAGGGGTTCTGGGATTTTTCCTGGCTTAGGCCATGTGTTCTGACCGAGCACGTCGGGGCGACCTGAGCAGGTCTGTGGGGCTGCACCTCCAAGGTCCAGTTAAACCCATGGGGGAAGCCAGGGCTCCAGGGCTCACCACTACCCAACGGGCTGTGCCTTCTGCATCTCCCGGGGTCCACACCCCAGTAGCTCACTGGCTGGTGGTGTCATCTGGGGCTTCCCGGAGGCCTTCGCTGTGGCGAGTCCGCCCGCTGGCCTCCAGCAAAGCCTGCGCCTCGGGGTCGGCATCCAGGATGCTCTTCTTAGCCTTGACCTTGGGGAGGAGGAGGGAGTGTCTGTGAGGTGCAGAGGCCAGCAGCCCTGATCCCCAGGGCCGGGCAGCGGCTCTTGCTATGTGCCTGCCTATCTGAGAGAAGCCCACTCGCCGCCTGGTCCATGCTCTGCCCAGGGCCTGCTCCCCTGGGCGGCATCGCTGGGAGTTACAAGCCGGTGTGGGCAGTGCCTCGGCCGAAGTGGAAGCAGAGCCAGGGAGCCTCGAGGAAGCCCAACACTCCCAGCTCGCACAGCAGGCCCTGGTTCCCAGCTCACCACCCGCCCACCCGCCTGTGCCTAAGGGAAAAACTAAGAATGGGGAGCCGGCTCCCCTCCACCCACGCAGGGTCCTGCCAGACCCCTCGGCTGCTGCACTCACCGGCGACGACGCTGCGGGGTCTCCGACCGCCCACACCTCCATCTTCTCAAACCGGAAGTTCTCCTCGGCGGACAGCTGCGGGCTGCTGTACGTGGTACACGTCGGCTTGGCCTTGCTGTGCCCGTTCCCGAAGTCGGCATCCACCCACAGCCCAAAGTAGCCGTGCTGCCCTCCCATGCCCTGCGGAGGAGGCGGGACGGCCTGGCCTGAGCCACCCGGGCCCAGAACGCCAGGACGTGACTCCAGCCCAGGACTGAGGCCCGAGGAAGGGCGCGGAGGGTGACCGTCCTGCTCTGGGCTGCAGCTTGCATCAGTGCCACACAAGCGTCCCGTACCATGACCCCAGAACGGTCACAGATGTCCCCAGACACCCACAACACAGCACTCGGCACTCCGGAGAGGCAAAGCTGTTACCCCCAGATCCCAGAAGATTACATGGCAGAGGTGGACACAGGTGACACTGGACAGCCCTGCCCAGACTCTGACCCTCAGCAGCAGGGTGCTGGGTTGAGGACAGAGGACAGGAGCAGACCCGGCCCTGGTCCCAGGGGTCCGGGAGCACTGGCATACCCTGGTTCTGACTGGGCCAAGGGAGCCCCAGCAGGTGTCTGCTGCTCCCGCTTAGTGTCACCTCTATTCCTCGGGCCATGACCAGCATGGACATGGGGTGCTGGACAAGGGGTGCTGCTCCAAGGACAGGGTCTCATCGGCGTCCTTGGGTGGGCTGGTCATGTGCCCCCGGGCAGCAACCGGAAGAGGATCCCCAGCCCCTCCAGCTAACTGAGGGTGTCACCTCCGCAGCCCCTGCAAGCACAGGCTGGGGGCTCACTGGGGGAGACGGGTGGGGAGAAAGGGCAGCGGGAGACCCGGCTCCTGCCCGGCTGAGCCCTGCCTGCCAGGGTTCAGAGCTAAAGCGTCCCCAGGAGCCTTGTTTGGAAGGTGGCAGCTCCTGGGGTGCTGTACAAACCCATGGAGCAGCTCAGGCTGACGAGCTGCCACCAGGGATCCCCAAGGTAGGACCCGCAGGCCCCAGCTCCTCCCTTCTCCCTGTTTCCTGTCCCCCATGCTGTGAGCCGCTTTCCTCCGACAGGCTGCTCCACCACGCCCTCGGGCCGGACCAGCCAGCCTCGGACTGAACCCTCTGAAACCTCGAGCTAGATCCACCTCGCCATTAAGTTGTGGGTGTCAGGGTCCTCAGCTCCTCACGGGGGCCCCAGGCAGCTGTGGGGCTCGTCCTCTGTGGAGTCCAGGTGTCAGCTGTGTCCCGCCCGTCAGCCCCAACCCAGCCCTGCCCGCCCTCACCAGCCCGTTGGGGATGGTCTGCTGGCCCTGGTTCAGGTACATGTAGTGGTCGTTGTAGCCCGTGGGCATGTACACCGCCATGCTGGGGGTGATGGAGAACAGGAAGCATCTGTTATCCCCTAGAAGTGACAGAGAGCAAACACACGGACAGCCAGGTGAGCTGGGCATGAGGCAGGGCCACTGGGCTTCAGCTGGGTGAGCACAGCAGTGAGACCTCCTCACCCCTCTCGGGGGGCCCCGGAGGCCCCATGGCCGGGGTGCACACTGCAGGAGCTCGGACTGCACAGAGGGTGAGCCCACAGCTGCTTGGGCCCCATGTGAGGAGCTGAGGACCCACGGCCCAGAGAGGCACCACGGCAGCTGAGCGCCAGGCCCGAGGGTGGGGTGGCCGCGATCAGGACGGAAGCAGAGCGGGTGCACATTGAATGTACGGCCTGGATATGGGGCACTGGAGGCCTGAGGGACCTCGAGGACACAGACAGCCCCCCGAGCTGTCAGGGGGGGCATGGACAACACCACGGCTTCGGGTGAGACGCAGCCGAGCCACTGCGACCAAGGTCAGCACAGCTGGTGCAGCTGATGCCCTCGCCAGCCCCGGGGTGAGGGACCAGAGGCCAGGGACAGCTGCAGACAGGACGGACAGCGGGGTCTGCCCTCTGCACCCTCCGCGCTTCCCAGGCACCGGAATCTGGAGAAGCAGCTCTTGGCTCTGCCATGATAAGGGTACTGATGACCAGCATTTACTGGGAGTCCATGCTAGGGGACCTGACAGAGCCACCACGAGGCCCACAGCCGCCACAGCCACAGCCTCGCCCCATGGGATTCTGCCTACAGCACAAGCCACGGGGGCACCTCACCGTCAGGACCCAGGCAGGACAAGGCCCCAAGAGGCACTGCCTGCCAAAACCCAGCTGACAGCGAGGGTCCTGGCCAACGCTCACGATGCCACTGCTGGGCGATGACAACTGTCTCCACCGCCTGCCCACATGGCACCAGTCCCGAGTTCAGGGAGCTGAGGCCCAGAGCAGCAGGCACCACACCCAGGGCAAGAGCTGGGACCCAGGATCCCATCTGCCAGCAGCACAGCCGGGGTCATTCCGAAGCTGTCCACCGGCTCAACGCTGCGGACAGGGGCCACCGTGCCCTGACTGCCATTCATCCGCAGGGCAGGCTGGCCTCTGCCAGGTGCTTCTGCACATGGAAGAGGAGGCTGGCGTCGCCTACACCCGCAGGAAGGTGGGGCCACTGCCAGCAGCTCCTTGGGGCCACAGAGGGGAGCTGACAGCAGCAGCCGTCACGGTGCTGGGGTCCCGAGGCCACCAAGGCACCAGGAAGGACACAGTACTGGGAGAGCCCGGGGGAGCACGCAGGCAGACGAGCCCCAGATGCCAGCTGTGCCCAGAAAGGCCGCCTGCGAGGTCAGGGACCCTGGACTCAGGGAGGAGCCCTGCCACGCCCAGGCCTAGCAACCCCGCACACTCTGAAACTACAGTGACTCCGACCCTGGAGACAAGCAGACCCAGGGGACAGAGGCGCTGAGCCCGCCCTCCCGGTCTTCCCGCCCAGGCACGAGGTCACGCAAGAGTCCAACAAGACCCAAGGGGAAGCAGTGCCAGGAAGCCCGTGACCGTGACGCGCAGGACTCTGTCTCCAGCCCCCGCCCCCCCAGGCATCCGTGGCCTGACCTCTCCCGCCCCCCAGGCCTGGCCCGTGTGATGACGCAGGCTCCGTGTCCCCGCCTGAGCTGCTGACACCTTCTGCTGATGCTACCCCACTGCCAGGGCCACAGAAGAGCTCTGTGGCGCCCAAACCACCCACAAGCGGCTCCACGCCTTCCCACAGGACAGGAAGAGACAGAGGCTCCCGCCGGCCTCCGGCTCACCTTGAAACTGCGGCTTGACCTCCCAGGAGCGGGAGGCGAAGCCCCCGAACACGTGGCCGTCGCGGTCCTCCAGCAGGGCCAGGCAGGGCCCGCGGTGAGTGATGCGGCCGCACAGCTGCGAGAAGCTCTGCCCGTGCAGGCGGGAGGCAAAGAGCAGGCGCCAGCGGCCCCGCAGCTCAGGCGCCAGGTGCGAGCTGAGGAAGATGACGGCCAGGACGTCCAGCAGGCTCTCCAGCCCCGGGCCCGGCCCCAGCGCGCACTCGGGGACCAGCGCGGCCAGGTCAAGGGACCCGCAGGGCACGAGGAGGCCTCTGTGGATGACCACGCTCAGGAACGTGGCCACGTGGGGGACCCTGAAGACCCAGTCCTCGATCACGGCTCGGTCACAGTCACCGTCCAGCCACTGAGGCCCCTGAGGCCTCTCGCCACCTGGGGGGAGTCAGTGTCACTGGGGTAAGCGTTACCCGGCAGTGACCGCCTAATCCTGCCCCAGCCAATCCAGGAAGCTCGAATCTCACGTGACCCGAACACCCCGAAGACGGCCTGGGGGAACTGAGAGGCACAGCACATGCGCCAACGGCTGCTCCTGTGGAAACGGGGGATCCAAGGAAACCCCACGCCACGGGGCAAGGCAGAGGTGCTCACTTCCTGTCTGCCAGCCGAATCACACAGGCCACGCCCAGGTCCCCACCGTCCCCAGGGGGCGCTCACCTGGAAGCCTCATCTCGGAGACCAGCTGGGCGGCCAGGGCCTGCGCCCTGACGGGGGCACCCGAGGCCACCTTCCCCGCCCAGCCCCGCAGCTCCTGCCTGTGGGTCAGGACGTGTGCCACGGAGTCCACCAGGTCCTCTGCAAACTGCAAGGGCACCGTGGCACCATGAGTCACAGCTCCGCCACCACACAAGCCCTGTCCCCACCACCACGCGGACCGGCCATTTCCTTCTGATGCCCGTGGTAACAGCTGGCGCGTGTGGGAGAGGGCACCCCAGGGGTGAGCTACCCACTTTCCGGAGCAGACCCTCGGCCGGCAGAGAGGTTTCACCAAAGCCCAAGTCCTGGAACTCTGACCTCGACTGGGCGTGTCCAGGGCTCCCCACAGCTGGACGCCTCCCAACGCCACCACCCGTCCACTGTCACTGTCCTCAGCTTCCAACAAGGACACAGGCCGCACCTTTTGTACTTCTCTGGCCTTCACGGGCCCCTCCGAGGCAGAAACCATCTTCAGGACCACCAGACTCTTCTCCTGGGCGCTGCCTCTCAGCAGGAGGGACAGCGCCTCGGAGAACTGCTCCCGAGAGACGCTCTCCCTGGGCCCCTGCGCCCGCCCGCTTGGGTCCACCTGCCGCATGCCGTTGTAGAGTCTGGTGACCATTGCTGCGGGCAGGGCTTCCCCAACATGGCTCTGCTGGGACAAGTGGAGAACAGGCTGGAGAGGGCGGGCTCCCGCTGGCGTCCTAGGAAACCAGGAGGTCAAGGCCCGCTCTGGGGGGCTCCAGCAGCCACCCAGCCTCCTGCGCCTGCTGCTAGCCCCGCCTAGCGACCACGACCTGAAGCTTTCCGGCTCTCCCTGGCCACCAGACATCCCAGTTCCTTCCTGTCCAGTCTCCTCAGGTGGCCATGTCCCTCCTGCCCCTGCGGCCACCTGCTCGCCACTCTGCCCGGAGCATGGACTCCGCAGACTCCTGAGCCGCAGGGCACCGGTCTGCGGTGTCAGTGTTGCTCTCGCCATCTGGGACTTCTGAGCACACTGTTTTCTGTCTTATCCTGGGTCTGAGGCCTGCGCTGTAACTATTCTTACTAAACCCTTCATATAATTTTTTTTTTTTTTTGGTCTTTTTGAGACAGGGTCTCTATGCCCTTCAGGCTGGCTTGGTAGCCCAGGCTGGTCTCAAACCCACAACGATCCTCCTGCCTCAGCCTCCCGAGAATGCTGGGATTACAGGCGTGCGCCACCACGCCCGGCTAAGGCCTGGTGATTTTTGAAGCTTAAACAATAACATTGTGTAACGCTGTTTTCCTTTTGGCCTCCAACATCAGATCTGATTTGGCCCAGAGGTGACAAATAAGAAAACAGTATGATTCACAAACACCCCCTGAAGTCCCTGCAGACGGGACTGACCGCCGACCGCCAGGCTGCCGCACTGGATGGTTTTTGTAGGGCAGGCTGCAAACTGCCCGCAAGCGTCCTCCTGTATCTGTGGGTGCTTCCAACCTTCCCCTGCCAAGCGGCCTCTAACTCCTTCCCAACTTGAAAGAGAGCTGCGGTCTTGGGGTCCTCCCCCAGCCCTGTGTTCTGCTCCCCGTCCCCCGGTTTGGTGCCCACCCTGCAGCCAGAGCAGGCTGCACTTGTGCGGCTGTGGGTGCGGCCCCGAGCCCCGCGCTGCTGACCTGGAGACGTGTACAGATGGCTGTGACCCCCCGAGCGCCCACAGTTCCCCATCTGCAAAAGGAGCGTGGTGGGGGGATCCCTGTGCCCCCATCAGGGCTGTCGGCACATCCAGAAGATGGACCGTTAGAGACAGCAGCTCCCACCCCCTCCTCTCACCCGTGCCCGCTCAGTGAGAGCCCCGAACGCGGGCTCAGAACCCCCAGAACAGGCCATGAGGTGGGCCGGCAGGTTCAGCTCCGTGAGGGGAGCCAGAATGCCAGGCTCACGCGTTTCCTCAGGGCACCGTTGGATTCCCTCACGTCTGGGTCACTTGAGCCAGGCGGCCCAGCCCCAGGCTGTCACCTACGGCAGCCAGGACACACAGGCCGGAGGAAGGAGGGAAGGGAGCCGGCTGCCCCTCTGATGTGGCCTCCAGTTAAAAACGCTCAGCGGCTCGGCCCTCACGATTCACCCTAAACTCCTTTCTCTAGCACAGATCGGACTCGGTGCCGATTTAAGGTGGGGTCGTGCAGACATCACTGGCCGCAAGGGCAGAGTAACCGCGGCAGGGCCGCGTGGCCCGCGGAGCCAAAGCCAGGCGCCGCCTTGCCTCACAGAGAACCTATTCATGGGGTCCCCGCCCCACCTCGAGCCGAGCATCGGTGAGGATCTTGCCTTCAGAGCCATCAGGGAGAAGCAGGGCGAGGCCTGCGCGCCGTCCTCCGCCGCCGACAGGGCGTCAAACAGCCTGTCCACCTCAGCCTGCTCCTTGGGAAGAAGCCGAGAGCAGGAGCTCTTCCCCGCGCGGCTCCTGCCGTTGCCCATGGCTCCTCGCCTCAGGAGGACTTTTCTAGGACAGGAAAGGGAAGGCGGGGCTGTCAGCACACAGCCTCGGCAGAGGGCCAGCGCGGCCAAGGTCACACAGAGGCGGCCGGCCGGGCCACGCAGCCGCGGAGCGAGGCAGAGGTCAGCAGCTGACCCGAAGTGCAGCCACGCCCGACTCCTGGTCTACCTGTGTGCACATCACGGCCCGGCCAGTGGTCAGCACTTCCATCAACCCAAACTTTCATCCCTTTAAAAACACCTCTGACCCTGGCTGGCCCCTCGCCGCTGGGTAAAACTGGACCCTGGACACCGGCCTAAACCGGCCTCCAGGGCACCAAGCTACCGAGACCCCATTCCGCTGCCTCCACTGTGCGCTCTCGGGCAGGCACTGAGCCTGCTGTGCCCGGCTTCCCGCGCCTACCACGGTCCTGCCCAGGGCACTGCGAAGCCCCATGCTCTCCAGAGCCAGGGGAGGAGCGCCTGGCCCACCCCAGGCCCACCGGCAGGTGCCCAGCCCCATCACCACCGCAGGCCTCATCACGGAAAGAGCCCGGGCACCCACACACAGGGGACCCACACCAAAGCACGGTCAGTGACGAACACCAGGCTGAGGGGCAGCACTGAATCTCTGTCCCGACTTCTCTGATGCAGGGGCACAGCCAGCTGGGGAAACTGAGGCAGCGCTGCACAAACAACCTTGTGTCCCGCCCGACCGGGAGGGGACAGTCCCCCAACCCAATTTTTCCATCCTAGAGGGTGCGGCTCGGTGGTGTTCAATGTGTCCACCTCGTGGACCACAACCGCCTCCACCTGGGGCCGAAACATTTCCCTCACCCTGCAGGATGCCCAACACCACGCTGGCATCCCCAGTGGTGCCCCTTCCCCAGCCCCGGCCACCGCAGATCCACCTGCCACCCCCAGCTTTCTCTACGCCAGGCATTTTGCATCGAGGGCTCTGTCACGTTTCGCGGCTCCCAGGCCCTCCGAGGCATGGCCAGCTTGTTTTTACAGCCAGCTGGCCTGTCACTGTGGGGCCCAGGACAGCCCCGCCACGGGCCTGGGTAGCTAATGACCATGCGGGCTGTCCCCACCTTCCGGCTGCTATGGAGACCCTCACAGATCTCAGCCATGAGGTTGACACCGGCCTCAGGGTCGCTGGCTTCCCCGGCCACCCTGTGCTCGGTGGCTGGTGCACCCCGCTCTTCCCCCCGCCCTTCGGAGGCCTGCTGCTGCTGTCTTTCTGTTGGGGTCACCCGCGTAGGGGCCCTGGTGGGACCCCCCTCTCCCTGCCTGAGAACAGGACCGGCCTGGCTCAGGGCTGTCACTTGCGGACCACTGCGTCTCAGGGCTCTAGTTTCTCAGCAGTGGACAGGCCAACAAGGACACCCCCTGGCCAGGCTGATGCCCAGCAGCACAAGGCTGACCTCACCTTGATAGCAGGGGGTGCACAGTGGGGCCTCATGTCCCCCACTCCGGGCAGCACCCAGGGGTACGGGGTGGCCACGCTGCCGACATCTCGGCCCTAGGGAACGGGATTGTCACAGAGGCCTCAACAGGACAGGAGTTATACAGCATCAACTTTAAACACCCGCTGAATTTAGGGGGACGGGGAGAGCGTGGCCAGTGGATAGGCGGCAGCTTCACAGGGGAGGTGGCAGCCACAGTCCTGCAGGAAAGGAAGGCGTGAGCCCCTAATTTCTGTGAATTTGTCAAGTCACCCAGAAACTTGCCGAGCTGTCTGCGCCCTGCAGAGGGGGGAAAAGGTGCGCCCATGTCACATCTCATCCCAAAGCATGGTGCTGTGGCTTCAAAGTCTGTGACCTCAAAGTCTGTGACGCCGAGGGCCAGAAGTCACCCACATGGCATGCAGAGCCCCCAGGGAAAAGCCGGACCCTTGCAGTGGCAGCAGCCAAGCCCACCCGGGAAAGCTCCCAGGGCACCTGTGCACCACAGGGTCCGCTGGGCACCAGCGCCGAGTCCCGCAGGGTCTGGACGCCTTCCTCTTCATCTCCCGGCCTCTGGTCTCCTAGCCTGAGGCTCCCCGCTTCCCTGGAGCCCGGGACCTCAGCACCCTCCGGCTCTTAACACCCAGGCCCCCGGCTGTTCTGTGACTCCTTCACTGGGCACTTGGTGGGGCCGGGCCGCTGCCCCAACACTGCTCCAAGGAGCCACAGGCTGGGCCCTCACTCTTCTCGGGGTTCCTCACACAAGAGGGTCCCCTGCTGACCCAGCCCCAACCTGGGAGTGAGCCCCTGTGTCCTCAGCGGGGCACCCAAAACCACCTGTTTCCTGGCCCCTCCTAACCCTGCTCAGACCCCTGCCACACGCCTGGTGCCCAGCGCCGGTTCCCAGAGGCCAGCCCACTGGGTCCTGACAGCAGCCCGGCTCCCCGAGGCCTCAGTCCCATCAGCAACCCGGTGACAGCGTCACCCGCTCCTCCATGCCGCCTCCCCTGCCTTGCTGTGCGGCCCCCCAGTGCCAGGCCAGCAAGGGCTCAGCACACAAGGGACGGGTCCTCAAGGCCACTGGCCTTGCAAGAAAATAAGCCCAGAGCCAGCAGGGAAGGCACCAAGGACAGATCGGGGCCAAAGCCACCTCCAGCCCCTTCAATGTGCAAAGCCACTTCGCACAAAACAGAGTAATCACTCTCCAGGAGACACTGGTCCAAAGACACCAAAGAATCCGTGTGCCCAGTGGCTGTGCCCGAGAGGCCAGTCCGCCTCTTCCTGACACCATTCATTCAACTGCCCACGTCACTTGGGCCAGGCCTCAACCCAGGTGGCCGTGGCCAACACAGAAGACCAGAGAGGATGGGGTCCCAGGCACCAGGACACAGCACCCAGGGACACGGTGAGGCTGGGCGGAGCACGGCAGAGGACTCTGGGGATGGAGGGGCAGAGGGGGCCACAGAGGACAGGGACACTCTTCCCCTTCACCCCTCGGTCCACCTGCTCCTCACGGGAGCCGTCACAGGGAGCACGGTCAGTGAGAGGTCAGGGGTCGGGGCCGCCTAGGAACAGCCCTGGCCGCTGCACCCCCAGCCTCAGCGCCTGACAGCACCACTGAAGGACACATCACAGGACAGCGGGGACAACCTGCCTCCTCATGGCCACTGCAAGACAACGGCAGGGGGACGCAGCTCCAAAGTCAACTCCTCTTGGCCTCCACCGTGGTCAGGCCCAGAGCTCTTCCATCTGCTATGCAGGAAGTGGAGCTTTGATGTGTCCTCCCTCCACAAGCAAGTCTCTGGCCTTCCTGTCCCTGACTGGCTGTGTGTCACCCTGGCAGCTCGTACAGCGACTCCTAAGAGGACCCCTCTCAGTGCCACTTTTAATCAGGATTGCTGGGACCAGCGGCCACAGCTGGTGGCAGCTCTGTACCCAGGGGACACCAACCACAGCCTAGGGCACGGTGGTCCGCATCAGTGGAGGGGAGTCCCACCAGCATCCAGGGGGCGGAGGCCAGGGCTGTTGCTAACTGTCCTACAGTGCCCAGCAGAGCCTCAGGACAAGTGTCCAGGCCTGAGAGCCCACAGGGCTGGAGGAGAGAAGCCATGGCCTCAGAGGACACAGGGCGAGAATGAACAGGAGGGGACCCGTAGGACACCAGTACTCACAACCCTGCCGCTCCCATGCACGAGCCCAGCTCTGCAGCTAGGGTATAAACAAACACCGAATTCACATGGTGACCCTGGGTTTCCTCACTGTGGACAACTTGTTAGGCTAATTCCAAACCTTAATAAAACAGTAGCTCTGAGCTGGGCATGGTGGCGCACACCTGTCATCCCAGCACTCAGCAGGCTGCGGCTAGAGGCCTGGTGTGAGTTCACGGCCAGTCTGGCTACCTCGTGAGCTCAAGGCCGGCCTGCACTACAGAGTGAGACCCGTCTCAAAAAAACCAAAAACGAATTTTTTAAATAAAACAGTAGGTCCAATGGGCCACAACAAGTGACAACAACCTTTGGCTGGTCCACCTTTTAGTCAGACTTCTAATCCATCTTAGCAAGAACCCTCAATAGCTGACCACCGTCATGAGCTACCCCAGCTCTTGTCCCCTGCCGTTCCAGGGGACGGCCGGTCACCCTGGCCTGCCTTCAGCGGTCACTCCACCAGTTAGACCAGAGTCCCCTGACCCCCACACTTCCCTTCAGCTGTGTTCCTTCCCGACCCAGCCTCCCCCGGACGGAGGGCCCAGCTCTGCCCCCTGCCGATGACCGGTCCTGAATGACGTCCACCTGACAGCTGAGGCTGCGCTCCTGAGCCACGGCCAGAATCCGACAGGGCAGCTCCCAGCCAGCGCCCACCCGGAAGGGACAGCTGACCGTCCCGTCCCAGCCCCAGGGCGGCCAGGAGCCGCGCTCGGCAGGCCGCGGGTGCCCTCGGCCGCCCCATCCCGAGAGGCCAGGCGGCCCCTCCGAGCCCCGGCGTGGCCCCCGGCGCCCCTTCCGGCCGAGCCTGCCCCGCGGCGGGAGCCCAGGGAAGGCCCCTCGGACCTTATCGGCCCCCACACACGGCAGGGCCCGCGGCGCGGTGCTCCCAAGGAGGCCTCAGTTCGCGGCGGACACCGCCAGCGCCCACTCGGCTCACCCGGCCTGCGCCCCACAAGCCCTCCACACTGTCTTCCAGTCGGGGTCCAGCAGCCTGGGAACTCCCCCTCCCCGTACCGCCCCTTCCGTTCCCAGGCAACGGCGCTGACGGGAGGATCTTTTGTCCAATCGAGGAAGAGGGAGGCGGGGCACGAAGCGACGTCAGCCAATGGAGATGCAGCTCACGGGTAGTAGGCGGGCCATGGGCGGTGTAGGCGGGGCCGAGTACC